TCGTTGAGTTTTCAAGACGTTTTAATCACTGAGGTATTTTCAACGCGATTTCAAAAACTCGAATTAATTTTATTAAAACTAAATTCTCCAACACCTGTACCTTGTTATTTGATTATACAGACTATGTTTTACTCGATTTTAACCGAACAGGACGTAGGATCATATTTCGGTAGGGGAACGGAGGGTCACAGTTCAAACCCTATTAGCGCAACGTTTTCACGAACAAACGCGCGAGCGCTCGGCACCGCCGAAACGGCCGGGGCGAAGGCGAAGCGGCAGGGGCGTCCTTATGAAGAGAGACGGGGGGGGGAGGGAGTGGCGATCGGGGCGATCGTCATCTCGCCCGAGAGTAGTGGATTTACGTTGGCATTTGGCACGGCCATTGATCCAGAAGTAGATTATAACCAATATATTATTTGACGTGATTATTTTTCTCAACAACCATTAATGTCAGACATAATTACCGCCCCCCCCCCCTCGCCACTGACGCGAAGGTCTGGTGACGCTCTTGCGAAGCAGAAGCAAAAGACGCGGTTTGGGAGTAAGACGTTTCGGACGTGTCCGCGGACGGGCCTCCCATCGGAAAGTCCGGTCGGGCTGCCGTGTCGCTCGTTCTCGGGAACGCCTCTTGACGTTCGGTAAACACACTGCGCGACGGACCCCTCGAAGTTTTTCCCGGCCGCCCTGTCGTCCGCAATAATAGTCGTCGCGGTGCACAAGTGTTTTTCACGGTGTTTTACACCGTCGCGCCCATACTGCGGGCAATAATCGTCGCCGGGCCGTGTCATCGGGCGAACGATACGAGAGCCCGCGACGCCATGAGGTCACGGGTAATTGGGAGGACTAAACGATCCCGGGCCGGTATGAAAAAAAAAAATACAAATAAAAATAAAATTATATGTGCGCTCGATGCTGCGGCGACGGCGATGACTCGATACAGCGACGACGGCGTTTGATTAAAATTAATGTCTGGTCGTTATGATATTATTATTATGTAACGACCGTTTCCTCTATCTGCACGCGTACACACACACACACACGCGGGCGCGCGCCGCGTACACACATACATGTGCACAACGTTCAGTTAGACGTTATTGCTCGTACTGTACAGTCCACGGTTATTTTATTATATTAAAAAAAAAAAGAAAAAAAAACTAACTAAATTATCCGCTATTATAATAATATTTTCTAGTACCTCCGCGCGCGTTAGTAATGTACTCGTACGTAAAAAAAAAAAAAAAAAAAAAAAAAAAAAACGGTTACATGTAAATAATAATAATAATCGGTCCGTCCGCCGCATAATACACTGGTCGCGTTGCTGCGCTGTGCAGTTATTATCGTTCAGAGTGGGTAATAAAGCGAGAGGAAACGCAAAAAAAGAAAAAATAATAAACAAAAAAATATTACCCTTCTCGCATCCCCGATAAACGTTTCTATAAATACCTCGGGTACATAACTCTAACTGATAATAATATATTACGATCGTCTGTGGGCGGTCATTATCGGCGACAGACACGTGGCTTTATTTATTTTTTTTATCGCAAAAAAATACCGTTTTCAACATTCTCACTTCCCGTTTACCCGTTTCGCTTAATTTATTAATATTATCAATAAGTACGTATAAATCGTATGCAATTATGAATTTTATTATCATACCGATAACAGCCCGTAGATATAATAAAAATCGAAGCTGAGCACTATAACTAATTAAAAAGTTAATAGTTAAGCCGATACTGTTACTGTTTTTTTTTTTTCGATAACTTTTATAACTCCACTAGTTAAAAAATAACAATAAGATTGTCAAAAAATACCTTAGTTTTTGTTTTAGTAAATAATTTTAACTTAACTTAGTCATTCTGTTGTAAAAAAAAACCGTGTACATATCACACACCGAGACGGGGATGTGACCTATACGAGGATACGGGATAACCACCTGTAGTCTTGTATTATAGTAAAATTAAAAGTTTGAATATCTGAGCACAAATTGCATTTTATGCGTGTATGGTAAAGGGATATTTTTAAAATGTAACTTTTATCTTAACTTATAATTTTGCTGAAAATGTGTGACTCGATTTGTTATTCGAATTCGTTTATATTTTTATATTGACTTTAACTCAGATCGGTTATTATTAATAGTGTTTTGTTTTTTAGATTAACTTCTTACACTGGCGTTTGAAAAATTAGTTAACACGTACTGCAGCTCTGAATAAAACGACTGGACGGTCGATCAAGAGGCCAAATCGTATCGATTAACCCGTGAAATATTTGTCTGCGCCATGAATATCGTGATTAATTTCAAAAACATTTTTCATAAATTATCACGTCACAACAATATTTCACGGGTTCGTTCAATAAAATTTGTCCTCTATGGCGTGAAACAATATTTAATATGGCTGTCAGGTTTCAGATTTACTTGTAGGTCCTGTAGATATATTATAGTTTTTATGTACACCTATATTATCTGTTATAATTATAATCATAAAACGCGACGAGGCTGTCGTCGCTTTTCCCGAAACGACTGCCCCGGCCGTCGACAGGGAATTTAAAACGCACAGCAGTGTTTTATCCGGATACCTTATTGTCTAGGAACTTTTGTCTTGGATATTTTCCAAATAAACGGGTGAAATCGTAGTTATCTGAGACGAGTGATTAAACCGCACAGGTCCAATTTTAGTTTATAATAATACTCCATTGATTGTATATTAAAAGTTCAATCAACCGCACGACTTTTTAGCGATTTAGACGAATACCGTATATTATCCAGAACGCTTTGATTTTTTTTGATTTTTTTTTTTTTGATGGGAGAAAATTATCCTTTATTCTTCTTATCCGGCTATATAGTTTTCACTAATTGTAACGTATATAATTTTTAATCTTTATCTAGACAACAATAATTATTCCGGCAATGATTGTCCCTTACATTTATTTATAGGTATTTTAACGTATTTTATTTCTTATACCACATCGCGGGATTGAAACGTGACATACTGTACGGTTCCCGAGACGTTGTCCACAAGACTCCAGAGATGCTTTAGTTTCGACTCTGGCATATTATGTATTTTTTTTGTTTTTTTATCTGCGTAAAACGATGTCTTATCGGTTTTAATATCGTTGTGTCGACAATGACCTTTAGCGACAATACCGCAAATACAAGAGTATATATATATGTATATATATTTAATTCCGTTAAAACACACGTCGGGTCATGATTTCTAACAATTTGTTTTCTCTTTCGCTATATTATTTTTTGCAGGGCCTCGTTCGGCGCGTTGTTAACGGCTTCTAAAAAGAAGTCTTGGTCCGCGGGAGTTTGTGCGTACGCGAACGACACGACGCGCACGGCTCGCAAAACACCGATATTATCGATAAGGACGCGTAACAATTTCGTCAAAAACGATTATTATTACGGCGCAGCCACGCACTGATGTGCGGCCCGTTTAAATAATAATAATAATAATAATAATATACGATATCTATTTTCGAAACGCGCACGGCCAGACGTCGTTTTATCGCCGGCCGTCAGCTTGGCACGCCGTCACGCGTATAACATAACGTTCCGATATTGAACGCGATATTTTATATTTTCGTCTTCCCACAATATAATATAGCGTATTACTTTTTTCTTCCTTTTTTTTTTTTTTTTTCCAATAACCGCCCGAAACGACATTATTATTGTGTTTTAGCCGACCGGAAAACCCTGCGCGCGCGGTTTCGCATCCGCGGCGAAACAAAACGCTCGTTTAATACGAGTGACGGAGAGAAAAAAAAAAAAACAATTAGGGGGGGGTAGTAAAAAAAAAAAAAAAAAAAAGTTTGTAAACTCGCCGTACACCGTATTTACATTTTTGATTCGCGTCTATACGGCCGATTTCGAGTTTATTTATCTGACGAATAGCGAATATTATAATATTATTAGACTGAGTCTAAAAGACCGCGGGATTGCACGGCGGCCGCGACGTTTTAAATTCCGTTCCGATTTTTGTAATTTTTTTTTTTTTTTTTTTCTATTCCGTAGTTTTACGGACCCCGTGTACGTTTTATGCGTACATTTATAATTATAAAAAAAAAAAAAAAAAAAACGATAACTTTTCGTCAGCGTGATGCAATTTAAACAATATTATACGATTGTTTACATTGGCGCGCGCGAGATAATGAAAAAAACGCGATTGTATTTTAAAACCGTACGCGATTTAACGCGATGCTATACAAACGAAAAGCGTTCCGATTTTAAAACGCACTCCGCGGGGAAAGTAAAAAAATGACCAGAACGTTCGAAACGATTACGTGTACGCCGGGGTGCGGGTGACAATTTACCGGATCGGTTAACGGCGCGGCGCATGCGTATGCGTCGAGTCGGTTTTTAACACTGTGCCCGCGGCGGATTAAAAATTACGAACAAATTAACGATGGCCGCCTCGTTGAGCCTATTAAAAATAAAAAACGAAAACACTCTTTAACAACGCGGCCCGTTTGTGTTCCGTCTAAAATATTTCCGACGACGACTATACGAACCGCGGGACGTAATCGGGCGAGAGAGTGGACACTTAGCGACCGAGTTCATGATGTAGATTCGTCGTCCGCCGCCGATCGTATTTATTTTTTATTATTATTATTATTATTATTATTTTTTTTTTTTTTCAACGCGCCCGCAGAGTCTCACGTTATAATGTTACAATAAATGCTATTTAACGCTCGTGCAGTGTATACACACGCGAAGCTACGGTTTTGTGTCATCATCGTACATTATAATATCTTTCGAGTGATTTATTAATTCGAAACCGCCGCAGCAGATAAGACTCCTCGTATGTATTATATTATACGTTATATTACACATTGCATTACCGTTATTATCAGCACCTGCCAATATGAACAGCCATGAGAAGTTGCGCACAAATTTGATCTCCCGTGTACAACAGGCGGGAAAATGGCGTATGAATATTATTATTGTTTTTTTTTTTTTTTTTTTTTTAATAACGAGCGTATAATACCTTCGATATCACGGTCGAATGTATACACTCTCAACAATTATCCGCGAGCGAAAACGATAATGGGTACAATTAAGTTGTCGAATCGGACGAGCCGTCGGACGAATCCGCCGTAGTGATGTGCCGTTAGGTATTTACCCCTAAAATAAATATTCCGTGTGTTTACCGGATATCATACCCGTGAATTTATTTATCCGCCTGAAATTCGGAAAAAACAATTTTTTTTTGTTTTCAACGGTACCCTACAACTACCGTTGGTTTTCTCGATTCTATGAAACAAACACATTATCACAGATAATATCTGTATAACCGTGTTCATTCGTGCGTTTTCCTGATACCGTGTATGCACCTCAATAGTAGTATTATCATTAATATAGTTTTTTGGTGTCGAACGTTAACTACGTTTTATTTAAAAATAAAACTAAAGTAAGTTTGTGCCCGTATTATGTTATAAGTTTTGGGTGACGGAAAAATGTATAAAGTTTATTAACGTAGTTTTACGGGGTTATATTATACCGCATTACGGGTCGTAACAAGGATCCCGGTGTTGAAACGTTACCGATGGTAAAAGTGTTTATTGTAATTATTTTAATAAATTGTTTTAGTTTGCAAATGTGAACAAAACGAAAGAATATATAAAAACACGTTTTGTTTAAAAAAATGTTTTTTACCAAATTTACCCAATATACCTGAAGTTGTATTTACCGGGTAATTACCCATCGCTAATCCGCCATTACAAACGGCGTTTGATCTTTTTGGACTTTTTAAAAAGCTTTATAAAAACGCTTTATTGACGTCACGGGAAATATTTCAAAAGTCACTTAATCGCATTTATACGATAATTTTAACGAATTTAATTCGTATTTTCCAGAAGTAACGTCGGAAATATATCACATATATATTTTTTTCTTTAGTCTCAAAGGACCATACCGTGTGTACCGCAGGTACCTATCGTCTCTATTTCGAATGAAAACCGTCTGGATCGGCGTCTTATCCGCGTGTATATAGGTGTAAAATAATATAACAGAATCTCACGATTCGCGCGTATAGCATAAAAAAAAGTGTCCGTATCCGTGTCGACGACGATTGTATTTTTTTTTTTTTTTTTTTTGTTTTTCTTGTACACGTATTTCTGCAAATAATAACGTTATAAAGCGTTTGAAATCTGTCAATTACTATACCGTTCGAGGAGATGAAAAGCTAACCCCCGCGGGAAACTGCGTAGGTATACCTATATAATTTATATAATGTACAACACGCAGATATTTTGCGTGCTGACTTCTCACGAAAAGAAAAACCGCCAAAGAATTGGAAACGTCAGTAAAAAACTCTGTCGTATAATTCAGAAGGTCGGTTATTTTTTTTTTTTTTTTAGTAGGTACACCCTATACGGAATTTTGTATTAACATAAAGACCGATTTACAGATCGTCCAATAAAATCCTATAAAATGTATACAAAGTACATTATTTGTTTATTTTTTTTTTAGATTCTGAGTTAGGCTAGGAATTTGTTGGATTTACTATACGTGGTTTTTTTTCTTGTCTGTAAACGACGTTTCACCAGTAATGTCGCTCCAACCAAAAACTTTGTAGAAATATTCTTATTGCGTTTTTAATTCAGTCCGAGCATTCATTGAGCACTAATTTTTTAAATTTTCTATGTAGTTTGTTTGAATTATAGGGAAAATCTGGTAATCGTTTTGTTTAATTTTTGTTGATTTTTGGATTCCCGTGATTGGGAAAAAAATACGAAAAATAATACTTCGATCAGAATCGTTTTTTCCGACGGGTACAGATATAAATTGAATTGCTCTATAACCGACTTCCCTTCTAAAACGGCGGTATACTCGTCAACAGTGTCGGCTTTCTAAAATTATAATATCTAACAAACACGGCAAAATAATATTTTATTAATTAATGTAAATTGTACTCGTTAAATAATAATATATTATTAGATAATTGAAAAGAACAAAAAAAAAAAATGTAATTACTCGTCTCATACATCGTAGACAGCGGTATAGCGAGGAAAATCATTCGGTTCGAGAGTATTTGCACACACAACGTGAAGTTAAAAGTTTTCCTACGAATTTTATTAGCCGCGATAAAGTCGAATACAATTTATCTCTAAATAAAGATAATAAAAAAAAATAAATAAATAAATAATTGCTCCGAAATCATTGAGACACAGTGGAAGATGATTTTAAATAATTCAATTACCTCAGATATGTTTGGAGTTTATCCGAATACAAATTAATTTGTCTATTGTTGGGAACATAGACGGTAGGCCGACGCCGTCGTTTTACACGGTAAAAACAGTTACTCCGTAAACGCAAAGTGCGTGTAAACACACGCTGTAAATCACTGTAGACTTCGAATTATTTTTGTCAAGTTATAACTACGGTAAGCAGGTATACGGTACCTATGTTATAAATAATATGATTGCATTTTATCTCGGGTGTAATAATAATATGTAGAATCGTTCACGCTGACGATAAGCTGATAACGGTCGAAAGAGATAATATCATCTAGACGAATCGTCTGAAGTCCTCGACGGCGCGTAATATTTGATTGAGGTTGGGTCGGGCAAACTTTTTTTTTTTTTTTTTATAAATCTACATGAATAATGCCGTGTATTATTATAGTTTGAAAACCGACCTTGGAAATTAAATTAAAAATGTCATAATAATAATAATAATATACCAGTTTTGAAACGACCCGACGCCGGTATAATTAAAGAATAATAATATTATAATGTTAACTAGTATATAGTAACCGCCGTTCTACTAAGAGATTATCGCGATCACGGACGGATAACGCGTCGATTATTTAGAAAAGGGGTTTTATTATATAAGGTGCACTCTTAAACGGTTTTCGCTTTTCGCGACGTAAAAATACTGCAAGAGACGAGGAACGTGAAGATTTTTTCCGGGTTCTTTTTCCCTTAGACTATTATTTTTCGACGCACTTAGGATCCCGACGGAACGCTTATAAGAAGGGATTATAACTTTAAGCATTTTCGTGTTTTTTTTTTTTTAGTGATCTTATCGGTTATTGGTACTTATGTAAGCAATATAAATTCGTTACAGGAAATCACGAAGCTATATTATACGAAACATATTATGTCGCATATTTTGAAGTTTAAATGATATTTTGATTTTTTTTTTTTTTGTGCGCTTAGCACTATTTCAATACCGCAGGCTTCAACATGTACTCATAACAATAATAATTCGAGGTCGGTTAAACGGCCATCGATTCATTTGTATGACATTATTTTTGTTATGATTACGAAAATGTCTAACAGTTATCATTTATCACTTCAATTGGAAATTCAAACGCTGTTCTGTTTGAAACGTGTATGTTTTGTTTGTTAATTATGTTTCGATTTTTATTATAACCGTGTCTATTGCAATGTGTAAACTACAGTTTACAGGTTTCTGAAATTATGCGTTTTAACGATAACGACAATAATTCTGGGGACGATGCGGATTATGAATACGACGAATTTGACGGTTTCGATAGTAGATTGTCCGTATTCGCTTGCGGTTATAAATAAACTGGGGCGGGGGACACATTACCACTAACCTAACCCCTCCCGTCCGATCCGACCACTGGCGTTAATCCTCGAAACGTACCGGGGCGACGGACGGCGGCGAGCTACGTACATAATCGCGCGCGAGCACACACGCGAAATAACGGTTGACTAACGATTTCCCGTGAAATCGCTACGCGCGCGCCGAACGATCGGACGGCGACAAACGGCAACAGCACGGCGACAAACTACGACAGCACGGCGACAAACCACGACAGCACGGCGACAAACGACGACAGCACGGCGACAAACGACGATAAACGGTTTCGTTATCGGGCGCTTGACGACGGACGAACGGTGGCGGCGGCGGCGAAAGACGGTTACCGGACCGGTTACCGCCGGTTCTCGGACGGCTCATCGGGCCGGCGTTCGTCAGGGGTGATGATACGGTTCGCGCGCGCGCGCGCGCGCAGACGTAAATACGCGACGATGTCGTGCGCGAGCGGGCGCGCGCTTACGTTCCCAACGCACCTGCGCCCGCCCGCCGCCGTCGGTCCTTCGTTACAATATTACGTTGCCCGGATACGCTCGCGAGTACATATTATTATGTTATATTTATAGCGCGCGGGCCCCGGGAGCTATTTATCATTTTCGCGGCCGACGGCGCACCGTAAATACGTACGACACGGCGCGGGCGCGCGAGGACCGTTTGATTCATCGCCTCGCCCGGAAAATCCGGACCGCGGGACGCGAACGTACGAGCAGTACCCGTACTGCGGGGGCGAATACGCGCGGGCACCGAGAACCGGCGGCGGGCGAGACACGGTTTCGCCGTCTCAAAGGCCGAGCCCGGGTACGAGTCGACGGAAATCGCGGTTGAGAGGTGTGGCGGCGGCCCGACGGGTGTGTAAGACCGCTTCGAAACAAACGTACGGACGATGAAATTAGTACACCTCCCCACCCCCCGACCGCTATACTCGAACCCATCGATTTTCATAATAATTAGACGCTAAAATCGTTCAATCCAATACCGTTCGGAGTCCGATATTGTTGATACAGCGTTGTACCGACGACCGGCATTGAAATTAAAATCGTTTTTTACGCAATCATCGACGGTATGATTCGCTGGACCTTGGGGTTTGAGATCCCGAAATTTCTTTAACGCGGCTCATCGTTCGCGATTTCGTACGCACAATTGCGCATTATAACCGAAGGTTTAATATTATTTGTCGGCCCAACTTAACCTAATCGTTTTGCGTTTTTGATGCTCCGATGAGAACCGTAAACGGTCGGCGAAAATCGGTTAAATAAAAGTCGGATCCGGCGGAATTTTTTTTCGTCGCGCGACAGTTTCTCGTGTTTCGGCGGCTGCGGCCGCTCGGGATTGTTTGCATAAAAAAAAAATGAATCGTATCGTGTCGTCCGTCACGAGGTGTGAACAGTGTGCGATACGAGTCTGTCGCGTTTAACGTAGCGCGAAACGTAAACAACGCCGGGCGAGTGGCCGCGCGTTTATATTGTTTAGAGCGAGTACCGCGGCATTATTCGGCAATTATTTACGCGCGGATAGCGCGGGCGAGAGGGGCGGCCGCAGCGGCCAAAGTGTACCGCTACCCGGGTTCGGGCATGGTTGGAAATTGGCGCGTATACCGGGGGCGCGTTAAGCGGTTAAAACAACGTAAACATATTATACGACCGCCGCCGCCGCGATATTACTCTGCGTGTTCGCGGCCGCCGCTACTCGGCCGCGGGGGGCGGCGAACGCGCGCGCGGGCGACCTGTGGGTCGGGCGCGGTTTTCGACGGGTTTCGACGCGTCGTTTTCGTTTTTCGCCTAAATTTTCGGCCGCGAATTCGCGACGGCCGTTCGAGGAACGGCGAGAATATTTCGTTTCCCGAAGTCATACTGCGGTGATAACGCGGATTAGAATTTTTACGATTTTTTTTTTTTATTTAACCCAATAACGAGATATTCGATGGTTGAACGGCGGGACTGGTCGAGATCTGAAACGATGTTAAAATTTTTGAAAATAAACGTTTCGCGTTGCTATATGGTTACTCGAGGACATAACGGTGTTAATATTACGCATTTAATAACACCACAATGAGCGCACTATAACCAGCATTAAAAATCGGAAAATACGCAAAATAAAATTTTTTTTTTTTTAATTTCAGTTTATTAATAATAATTTATAACGTCTCTAAAGGTACCTACAATGTATAACGATCGGTAAAACCTATCGTTTTATTAATATCGAAAAACACGTTTGGCCTTTTCATCAACCATCCCCCGCCCTCATTTACTCAATTAGGTCGGCGTGTGTCTGACACTCCCTAATTTAATCAAATATTTATTTCGTTATTTTGAAAAAAAAAAAAAAAAAAAAAAAAACGTGACGGTAGCGAATCAAAAGCCCCTATCCCTTTTGTCAGCAAATGTCAATATATACATGACCGAATCCTTCTCCCCTCGTCATATAGTAGGTCTATACATGGTTATAATACTCGAGCACATTGCCTATTCATCTCTATTGCGTATCGGTTCCCAATAAACACAAATATACTTAACTTCAGTATATAGTGCAAACGTGTAATATAATATATAACCACAGACATGTCAATTACCGAATAAAAAAATAAAAAAACTGGACTACGTTCGTTATGTCGAAAAAAAGACGAAGAATATCACAGAGAAATGTAGAGAGGGGTCATTTCGGGTTTAAAAACCAATATACGCTGCCCTCAGATTCGTTCGGCATGCGAAACAGTGGCGGATCCAGAGTTGAATTTAGGGCGGGGGCTCCTAAAAAAAAAAAAAAAAACTAATAATATTTAACGAAAAACCGAAGAAAAAAACAGGTGCGATACTGGGGACGGGTGCAGCCGCCCGAGAAGGCGGGACGTCAAAGTTATTCGATTTATACCGGTGTGAGCGCCGATGATCCGCCGCAAACTCTTATTGTTCGATTTCTGGTTAGAAAATTTTTGTTCACAGACTGCGGCAAAAAAAAAAAAAAATTTAAAACGCGTCATATAGCTCTGTAGTGTGCAATCGACGCATTCATCGCGCCTCTCTCCGCGTTTCTCCGTCGAAAATCTTGTTACGTACGCGTTATATCGTGTGCGCGTCAGACAATATTTAATTGATTATTTGCGGAAGGAAGAACTTTTGCCGCGCGGTCCGCGGTTGGCCCGCGGGGAGTGTGGAGGGATGGAGGCGCGGCCCGAGGACCCTGGGCCCCCGTGCCTCCGATCGGGCGCACGTTGACCGTAGGCGCGCGTACGTACACGAATACTGCGCGCGCTCGGCCGCCGTTCCGATCGCGTACGGAACCGTGGCCCGCGGCACCGCCAAAAGTGCAGCACTGCCGTTTTACACACGCACGCCGGCCGCGCATCGATCCGTCCCGTCCGGCGAGCGTGTGCGGGCGGATGGGGGGGGCGGAGGGGGTTGTCGTTCGCGTCAACGGGACACCGTTAACGCGCGCGCGGGGTTTACGCCGTCGTTTTTTTCCCGATCGTTTTGCCGCGGCGTCGCCCGTACCGCGACCGCGGGCGCCCCTTACCTACGCGATTATTATTCTATGATGACCATAACGCAATGGAGGGTACGCGGATAAAGCCGGAAAATTCGTTTTTGTCGTACGTTCTCTCCAAATTAAATGGCTGTATCGGTAACGGACTGTAGTCGCGAAAAAACCGGATTAATCGACCGTAATCAGCGCCGGAAGTTTGGGCCTACGGGGAAAACGGACAACGGTCAGCTGACAACCAGAGACGGACGCCGGGTAAATGAATACAATAACAACACCATGACGTTATTGTGTTGCGGTCACTTTTTACGTTTCGAAGTTTTACGTCAAACTAAATCCGAACTTTTTGCTTTGTAAAAAAAAAAAAAAAAATTGTTGCGTTTCGAAATTAAAAACAAGTTTTTCTCAGTTTGAAACAAAAAAAAATGATTTCTGTTCTTTTTCCAGTAAACCCTTCACTCGTGTATACGTATTCGAAGACGTGATTGTGCCGCGGGTGTAGCTGTCCGCGTAGAATTCTCGCGGCTCCCGTCGATGTATAACGTATATGTGGGTATCTCAGGTGGCGTCAACCTCGGGACACAGCCGTAGGGACGGCAATTTGTTCGTTAACAACAATGCATCGATTTTTCAAACCACCGTCGACGCTGAGAATATTGAATGTTTAAATAAAATTCAACGCGTTTGGGAAAACATCGTCAATTTGAAATGTAGAGGGGAAAATTTCTCTTTACCGCGGACACGACGAGTCTCGTTAGAGAGATATCCAGCGTCTGTTGCCCAACACTCGAACATAAACGGTATCCGTTCGGCCCCCGGGAATCGTAGTTCGTCCGATCGTATGCGGGATCATACTCGCGAGCACCGAACACCGACCAAACGTCGGTAAAGCTGCGACATCGGTGCAAAACCGCCGAACCGAGCCATCGATATCGTCGAACACCGGTCACGATAGTTTCGAACGTCAATGTTTCAACAGTACCGATGTTTTGTCGCCATTACTGGGCGGCAGGTCGGGCGACGGGATTTTTTCGCGGTGCGGTGCTGCCGGCGCGAAATATACACACCGCGCGCGTAGCGGTTCGCAGAAAATATAACTATGCAAAAAATCGCGAACGCCGCGAACGATTACGCAACGGAGTTTATACATTACCGTACCCGGTTGCGTAACGGTATGAAAATAATTCGACCGGCGGGTATTCTCGTACTGCCCCGGCGCCGACGGCCGCGGCCGATGATAACAACGGTATCACGTACGCCGGCGTCCGAACAACGTTCACGAATCAATCCCGACCGAATCCCGCGCGTCTCACTCCGCTTAAACCGCGACCTACCGCACGCGACCGCTACGGGCGCACGACCCCACGGTGCCGGGCGCGTAACGCGACGGCCGCCCGTGTAAATCCCACGCGTTTACACCGGCGTGTAACGGCGTGCGCGAGTACAGACGAACGTTCCGGAAAGGTACAGACGACAGGGACGTGTGGGGTAGTACGATGTACGCGACGATTAATCACGTCACCGACGGTCGCCAACAGCGTTCGGTCGCATTCGTTTTTGGAAGGCCGTAGTATTATTGCGGTTTTAAAACAATACGCCTCGTGAATTGTCCCGGTTTTCCCGCGTCCATCGGGAAAACTCCCGGGCAAAATCGGAAAACGACCTCCCCAAAGTATACCGCCCTCCCCCGGAAAAATCCCCTTTCGGAAAACGCGCCGCGCTCGATGCCCGGGGGCGAGATTCTCGGCAGAGTTTCCGTACGCGGCGTACGGAAAAACAAAAACGACACGCGTTCCCCGGCCGGCCCGGAACGTCCAACGACCGAGGACGACCGTTATTTTTCGATCGACGCGTTCGCTGGGCGCGTGAATCACCGGCCTCCGCGCGGGCGGACCTCGGCTCCGACGAACTCCGCGTGCGCCGTGTCGTTCCGGAGATCCCGCGTGCGCCCGTTTATCCGCTACACGGTTTAGACGGGGCGGCGTTTACTTTTCGATTTGATTTCGAGACCGGCCGGTCCCGATCGGTCCGCGTGTACGGGCGGCGCGTAATGCGCGTAACGTGACGTTTCCGATTGTCGCGTCGATTACCAGATCGGACGACGTAATACAACATAGCGGTAAACTATCAAAATAATAATATCAACACGCTGTTATCGGTTCACGCGAGGGATCCGACGACAATAAAGCAACAACAACAATAATAATAATAATAATTCGTTTATATCCACGGTTTATAAGCGGGTCGTTTTTTTTTTTTATTTATTTACTATTATTACTTTTGGGCGATAAACGACTGGGCGAGACTGGGTACGCGTAAACAAAAATACAATAGACGAGACCGTTGACGAAAATTTACTAATATCACACGACGATTCGTGACACGCGGCTCGTACAAAGGTCTATTACAAACGCGATATTTCAATGGTATACGACGTACGAGCACGACGAAATACTCGCACCAGTGTCGTTTATAACTAACTGTAATACAGTGATAACGGTATTTATTAACGTTAATGGAACGAAAAAAAAAAATAATAATAATAATAATAACATTTTTATACACCCGACTAGACCTTTCCAGAGAATAACATTTTTATACCCCCGACGAGACCTTTCCAGAGATACAGAGATTAGAGTATAATATGTATAATATCGTAACGCACACGAACATTCCGTTTCGGTATAATTATACTAAACGCGTTTATATTTTATTACGATATATGGTGTATTGGAATTTAAAGAGATATCGATATAATAATATACAGTTCAAAGAATTACAACAATTAGAATACCAGTTTTACTCGCCTTCTACAACAATAATATTAATAATAAAAAACAGATTGCGGTCAAATGTCACATTGTACTAGTTTTTTTTTTTTTTTTTTACTGCTTCTGCATGCTAGACATTATAACGTTACTAGTTACTGCTGTTTAATAGATAAAAAAAAAAAAAAAAAAAAAAAACCATACATTTAATGTGGCCAGATAATAAGGAATTCGGTATAGATTAAAAAAATAATAATGAGTAACATCAAGTCGTCAAATCGCTTTGCTCGCGAGCTATATCAGACCGACGGCAAAACTTAAAATAGAAAACTCGCTACGCGGGAAAGGGAAATTTAAAAGCAACACACACGGGCAACGATGTACGGAAAACTCGATGTAATCACGTACACGCGATGCGAACGCCTAGAGTGGACGCTAGGACGTGTATATGGGTAGTTGACGAAGGCACGTTAAAATGATGATGGTCTAACGGAAAAAGTGAATGAAAAACTCCCGCCGGGACACGACCGTGGACTAGGTGAAATGACACTGCGGAAACGGATATGAGATGGCGGCACAGTGTTCCGTACGTGTATAACATCCGGGAGCACGTATCGCGGTCCGCGTCCCTGTAACGTGCACGCGTCTCGACGGACGCGCCGCCGAACCGCGGGCCGTCCAAGACGTGTGGCCGCCGCGACCGGACGATACGCACGGGCGTGCTACGGACGCGCGCGTATCACGGGGCGTCGTCGTATGACAGCGGGCGAATTTCACGGTGCGCTTGTTTCGCGAAACGATAGTGTCGCGCGGGCGGCGCTGCAGTTTGTTGTTAATTTTTTTTTTTTTTTTCTCTCCTTCTCCTCCTGCGGTTTTGTTAATCGTTTCGCCGTTGCGTCCCGCGCGCGGACGGACGGCGAGTTTCCTCCGCGGGACCCGTAATTTATTGTTTTACGGCCGCCGCGGCAAATGAATCACGGACGCGGGCGCACACACTCGCGTACGGGCACACGCACGTACGGCGGGGGAAAAAAAAATCGGACGCGTTAAATCAGAAAAAAAAAAAACCGCTGACATAAAAAAAAAAAAACACGCGCGTGTACACGCACATGCACTGACACTGACACACACACACACACACACACACATAACGCAATGACAACAGTAGTTTTCGCCGGCGGCGCGATCTATCAAAATTCAAATAAATAAATAATAATGAAAAAAAAAACCGCCAATTTGTATTTTATTGTCTTTTTCCCTACCTCCCACCGCTTCTCGCCCTATTTCCCCGTCAAAACTCGTACACGTTAATTTATTATAATTATTTTATTATTATTATTTTTTTTTTAACCGTTACGGACTACGCGACAAAACCGTCGAGAATTTTCGTATAATATACAATAATAATATCGTTACAATACGAGAACGAACATTTTTAATCGAACCGTGTTTTTTTTTTTTTTTATGCTTTTCGACGTAACGATGAGGACAGTTTTACCGGGACGCGTGTGTGTGTTTCATTCGCTCGTCGCGGTGCTTTATTCGAAAAGTTTTTCGAAATTCTTCCTAATGTTTTGTTTTCCCCCGAAAGAAATCGCTTTCATGTGTTAATTTTTAAAAAAAAATAATAAAAAACCGCTCAGATTCGTTCGCGAATTTCAGAATTCCTGTCCGGCTATACTCAACAATATACCCGCGAAACGTACACGGGAAAAATTCGACAGCTCGCCCCGGTCTTTTTGCGTTCGTTTCCCGTCAATTTCGCCATTGGCGAGACGACAAGCGGGGAAAAAAAGCACTCTCTCACTCTCTCTCTCTCTCTCTCTCTCTTTCTCTCTTTCCGTTCAGAATCTTTTTCGTAATAATATCGCCGTGAACTAAACTTCGCCACGCCGACTGCACCGTCTCCACCGCACCCGCCGCCGTCGTCTACCCGCGATCACTGTCGGACCGTTACCGACGCGGAGAGTCGCGTCGAACACGGCGGCGCCAAACGGATCAACACGAATCGACGCGCGGAGATAACGGGGAAAAAAAAAAACGGACGGCGTGACGAAAACCGGCGCGCATGCGATTCGCGCGCATTCCGTTCGGGCGCCGGGCCCGTCTAGGGAACCGCAATAAATGTTCGCGAATTCCGTACGCGATAAGCGCGCGGAATAAAAAACAAAAAAAAAAAACCGCGCACGCCGTACAATATCAACCGCCCGACATCCGATAGCCCGCCGTACGGTGTAACGTAAAACCGCGCGCGGCCGCGTTATTCCGGCCCGCGGAATGTCGGCTCGCGGACGCCGCGGTTTCGCGGCCCCCGGGGGGAAAGAGGAGGGGGGGGGGGTACGTACCTGCTTGTACGGAACGTCGGAAAATGTCCGTGACGTTATTGCGTTTTACTTATGTTCCCTGCCCGGTGAAAATCGAGGGGCGGGGAAAAACGACAACAACCGGTCGCGCGCGTGTTATTATCGCGCGTACCTATACGAACGCGGCGGCGGTGGCGGCGGTTACGTAAGGACGCGCGGCGCACACGTGCGACGGACGGCGGCGGCGCGCCGTTCGGAAACAGTGTTTCGCGGTGCCGGGCGACGGCGATCGTGCGTCGTGTCCGCGCGGACGTCGGCCGCACGGTGTGACCGCTTTTCCGTCCGCCGGACGCCGTGTGCCGTTACACCGCGCGCGGTAAATTGTTCGGAGAAGAGAAAAAAAAAAAGGGCGAAACCCCCCCCCCATATACACACACACACACCCCGTTCGAATCAACCGTACGGTATAGTGAGCGGCTTACCTGTTGCCAGTGGTCCTCGAGCGATACGTGCGCGGAGAAATAGCCGGTGTCGTGTATGTCCTGGAGCTCCCGGAATATGTTACCGCTGGGCAGTACGTCCATGATGCTGCAGCAGAAGTCCGGGTCGTAGAACGCGTAGTCGCGCGGCCGTCCGAAAGCTTTCGGTTTCTTCTTGTCGGTCTTGGCCGCGACGCACACGCCGCCGGTCTGCCGGTTGTCCGTCGGGAACTCGCCGCGGTCCGCGCAGCCGGCGGCCCCCACTGCCGTGACGGCGGCCGTGTCGGCAGTTCGGATCGACACCGGGATGGTTTTCCTCGTCGTCCTGTTACGACACCTGTTACGACGGTCGTCGTCGACGGCTGCGGCGGCCGGGTGTGTATCCGTTTGTTATCACGCGGCGCGCGCGGTTTTCAGCTTCGGCGTTTGTCGCGCGCGTATGGATCGACTGTGCCGGAAGCTCGGTCGGGCTCTTCGCGCGGGTATACGGCTGCGGGGTGCTACGGCGGCCGCGGTATTCGGATTAACGTACGCGACACGCGACGGTATCAGAACGCCGGGAAAACGGTCATCCGCGGAGAAAATTAAACGGAATGGATGAGAAAACGAAACGCTCGGACGCACGGCGAAAAACGAGATACGTGCGATTTTCCGGGTCGAAACGCGTCGTCGCGCACACACAAAACGCGCGCACAGACGCACCAAAACGCACACGCACACTGTTTGTTTGCGGCGAAACCGGACCGTCGACGGCGGCGTGTACGACGACAATAATATTATTTTATCGATAACTACGCGTACGTCTTCGGGAAAACGGTACGCGAACGGACGGAAAAACGACACCGAAAAACGACAACACCGACGATAATATTATTATTATTATTATTATTATACGTAATTTCGGTATTAATGCCGCGCACGGGAATTAAAAACCCCGGACGAGAATAACGACCGAATTCAAAAAACAAACGGACGAGAATAAAAAAACAGACGCACAGAAAAAAAAAAAACCGAACGACGATTTATTAGATTATATTTCACGGCGTACAGAAGCGGCAAGTGGTGGCCCGTGTTCTCGCTGGCGACTGAACGCTGTAATTTCGCCGGTGCCGGCGCGGCGAGTTTACCCGTTCGCGCGCGCACACGAATACGATATTCGATTGTGCGTGGAGTCCGGGCGTGCGCGGCCGCCGTTAGCAGCGCCATCTGCCCGAGCGGTAACCGCAGCCGCCGCCGCCGCCGCCGCCGGACGTGGTGTTGAAATGCGAACCAGAAACCAACAACAAACGACAACAACGACAACCGTACGCTTTCCGTTGTGCGGGGCGGCGTAAAAATTGGAAAAATCGGTCTCCCGGTACCTGTCGGCGGTGCGCCCGGGAAGTAGCACCCCCTCCCCCCACAGAAATTTTTTTAACTACGGCATAATTCGTATACTATCATTTTATCTTCGCTAGCTTCGATAATGTTGTACATTTAAAAATATTCTCAATCGGGCAATCGGTTACATAGATTTTCGATATCGCTTAGCAATGCCAATGCAAATGTCAAACTTTGACCAAATCGGGATTAGGAGTCACGGTCGCGCGGTGGTCACTATGTAATGTTATTACGATGTGGTTACACACGTCGCGGAACAGTTAAACGAGAGAACGCGTTATCAATTTACTTAATAATATTGTATCTATGCGTTTTCAAACATCGATGTTATCGGCTGTGGTCTGAACTTCGAAATGTATTATATGATTATAACTATTGTAGATTCGGTTACACGCTTTTGCATCATGAATGAACATTCATATTGCTTCGTATTTTCAACACTTGGATTAAAAGCTTAGTCGAGGTCGAACACGGACGAAGAACACTGGATTGGGTTAGGTCTACGCTTAACATCCGTATAGACGTATAGAACACAGTTCGAGTTGACGAAGCGATTGAAAAAACGAAATTTAGATTTCGGTTTAAAATCAATTTTTTTTTTTTTTAAATATAATTACAGGCAATGTAATCATAATAAATTGTTCAATTAATATGCTCTCCTCCCCCCCCCCACAATAAAAAAACAAATTTTACCGCTCCCGAAATTTTATCGATTCATATTGTATCAGTAGATATAAAAATCCTCGGAAATAATATACGGTTTCTATATTATATTATAATGATATTTCTGAAAAATATTGTTCCATGAAATTACCGTTCGGTACAAGTAACACGTCCGAATGATATTTTCTATAATATTGTGATTGTCTCGATTTACATATAGGCCCCTCCCCACGAGTGCAGCCCCCGTGAACTCATCGCGCATACCACAACTCGTTTTACACGTCTGAAAACACACACGAATATAAATAATAAGTGTAAAAGCATATTTCAAGGACTATCCGGGGGGGGAGGGAGGATTCGTGAGATCTAACCGTTTTTCGGATATTTTAGGATTTTATATTTTAATTAGAGTAAAAATAAAATACCTACACGTTTCTGTTCAGAAAGTGTGCTGTTATCCCGTGTTTGTACGTGCATGTACTCGTACCAGCGACGAAAACATAGAGAAATATGTGTGTCAAATCCGAGGCGAACACCCAAGGGACAAGTGGGGTCTTGGTTTTTTTTGTAGGAATCTTTATAGTAATAATTTTGGTACGAAAATACAGTAGTCAGTATTTTGCCCAAGATTCAATGATTATTGAATATATATTATTATTATCCGTAAGGTATATAGTAGACGGAAATTGGGTACCTACCAAATGTCTGTTATTTTGTTTAGAATATTACACCAAATGGTCGATAAGATTAAAATTGTTTATAATGTTAGTAGAATAATTCTAATTATTTTATAGTGTAACCCCAGACAAATATTATACGGATTGTTAAATGTTGGCGGTTCGTAAAAGTATCCAGTTGATGTTCTGAGAAGATTATTTAAGGATAAAAGGACAGGTAATGTAAACGACGAAAAGCGACGGTATTACAAAGAACAGAAGAGAGGACGATATAATATTAGAGAGATTCTAGAACGGAAAACAGCCCGGGTGCCAGGAAAGGGCGAATCGATACGTCCCTTTGTAGGCGTCTAGGAATGGGAGAGACGTGTTGGTCCATTACCGCGACAGACGGCGAAAAATCTCAAAGAGATGTAAAGGCGGAAATAAGTAGAATACAAGCCGGAGTACTGGAAAAGAAAATGATGTAAAATGTGAATGAAATTATTAAAATTTGCTTTATAAATTTTGATACTGTAATAATAACGATCGGTTTTTATCACTTCTAAAAATCGGACAATAATGTTTTTGTGAGCACGATTCGGACGCAGCCAAATCATCGGAGCGTACGCCAAAAAAAAAATTCGACGTCATCCCGCAAAATGACGATGACCATTGGGCGTATAACTACGAAGACATGTGTTATTTTGTTTTTTTTTTTTTTTTTTTAAGTTTACCCGTCCAAATTAATAGTGCAAATTTTCTATTCTGTATAAAGTCCATATAATAGTAACACAACGATACTATTTTGCACTCGCTCCCGCACGTTTATTATTATTTACGATGTGTACGCAATAGTAATAACAATTATCGATGATCTCCGCGGTCCCTGTCAATATTTGTTTAAGTTTTTTCGGGTATACGAAAGACTCGTGTGCACAGCACGTATTTGTAATTAATTGTCATCAACGATTTTGTATATAACATATATCTATATAGTCGGATTAAAAAGTTTTCATTTCTAGTCGAATTCACGTCGATAATATAGAGACTATATTATTGCAGTGCAGCAGTGAATATCTCGCGAGCGTTTACCGTTTAATAAGCGTGTTGTTTTTTGAACGCGATGGGAATTGAATAGTGACGGATAGTGTTTAGTTCAAAATTATCTGACGTTTTATACATACATTTGTGCGTATATACGGAATATATTGCGGACAATGGATATTTGTATTATTACAATACCATGAGAGTCCGCAGACTTTTTCCCGGGGGGGGGGAGGGGCAAACATAGTTTAAAAAATAAATTACCATTTTGTTATGTAAAAGACAAATTCCTAACTTTAATACGTCATAATAACTATAAGTATTTTTATTTAAATTTATTATTTTTTGTTAAATACAAACGGTAATCTACACGGACATTGTCTACCAAATTGTGTTGGTGCTTTTTCAATTAATTGGTGTTTCTCTGAATTTAATTGTTCGTGATGAACACTTAACATTCATAGCCCACTCTGTCTATGTTCACTCATCGTTGGTAGAAGCCATGTTTTAATACGCCATAAAGGGCTAAATGAACGTTTTGCTGTACAACTTGTAGCCGACAGGGACGTAAATATTTCCAAAGCAGTTGTTATACTTGGGAAAAATGTTCAGATACGTGTACTATTTAACAAATCAATAAAGTTAGTGATAATAATAATAAAATTAATGTCTCGGCAATCCCGATTTTACCAACTTTCCGCTTCAGCTTGTAGATTATCAATGTCACAGAAATCGTGAACTTTTTCAACTCTCTCGAAGAATATTTTTTTTGCGAATTGTTTAAAATTTGCGGAGGATATCAGAGGGAGATATTTCAATAAAAAAAACATTATTGTTTTCTTTTTCAAAACGTACTTTTATGGATTATATAATTGAATCAAGATATGGTATAAAAACTGATACTCGGTAATAATCTTCACAACTTTCAGTTTCATAATTTGCTCTTAGTGACTGTTTTTTACTGTTCTCGGACATGTAGTACAAATGTCTATTTTAATGTCATTACCCTACTTTCGATGATTATCGAACGATTTTAGTAATGAATCAATATGTTTGAGCCTCAAAATTTGTTCAGTCACAACCGAGAAATCACAACATAACACACTATTATACTCCTGTTTATTGTCTTTATACGTTTCAGACCGAATTTAAAACCCAGGAGGGAAGGCGAATTTGGAGGCTCATGTGAAATATATTTCCTGTTTTTTTTTTTTTTTGTTTCATAGAACTCGGAATCGTGTTTGAAATTTGAATGACACGTTTAAACTGTAAATTACTTTGTTTCCATATGTATATATATATATATGTAAACACCTAATATATATTATCAGTAAACTAACTGCAGTACCGTTAAAACGAAATCCGTTCGTTGTTGTACAAATACAATATATAATAGTTAGTGTTCTTTTAAATTTTTTTTTTTTTTTTTCGTCTTCCTGAAATATTTTTATTATATACGAAGTTTGGAATTTATTATCTGTGCCGCGGAGTTGGTCTCGTATACGATATTATTATTATACATAGGACATAGGTACACTACTCGTATGAATTCGGTGCATTATGTATTCATTCGATATAATATTATTACCGATATGAGAATAATAAGATAATACCGTTTACTTGTCATAATATGTGGACTTTCCTTTTGTCGTCGTAATTATTGTGGAAAAAAAAATACAAAGAGCGATTTATTGCTCACAACAACAACTCGTGAACTTGTATTGTTTTAAACAAATTCGTAGAGTACATAAAATATAATATACATTTATATATATATGGTAGTAGAGTCTTCTCGTAGGAATACACAAACAGTATGTATAAAGTGAAAGTAGTATCAGTATCAGTCAGTCAATGACACCTAAAGGAAAACATATATTTTTTATTTTATATTATTATAAATATGTATAGGCACGAGAGGAATACGTGTGGTAAACGATAGAACAGTTATGATAGCATGGTATATTTATGGTACGGTACGGTATTATTGTAAAAAAAAAAAAAAAAACACCGACCTATTGTTTTATATGGAGAAAAAAAAATAATACGTCTATGAATAGAATCTAATCACATATTATTATTGTGGCGATTCGAGTTACAATAATGATATTATACTATAGTGCCACTACATATAAATACTTGCAAGTTTTAGCGTGGAAAATTATCACAAGACCCATCTTCGTTACCTAATAACTAGGGCCCGGGTTTCAAAGGAATATGCATTTTTTAATTTAAATTTTTTTTTGGACACCGTGCATTTCCGAGTACTTGCACAATTCGATTCGTAAAGAAGACACTCAAAATCGGGTAAAATACTTACGGAAAATATCCAGAATAAATCGAATGCATACATATAATAGTATTCAGAATATGTACTAAAATACTTTACACGAATAGTTTTTTGAATAGTTTATCGGAATACATTAGGTTGGTAACGCATTAAGTATTATATTTTTTAAATGC